GATTCTATACTAAATGTCAGGTCTACAAATATAAATACAAATAAATGAAAGCAATTCACTAAAAACGCTGTAAGCCATCCAGGAAGCCATTAATTAGTGAGATTGGTGCTGAAAGGAGGGAGTGGTTTTTCAGTTACTGTAGGGTCCAGCTTTGGCACCCCTTGTGACCTCCCTCCCACCGACACGACCTTGGTAAGAGCTGGGAGCTGCTCCCTCTTACAGGGCAGGGTTCTCCCACCTCTGGCAAAGCAGAGCCTAAATTCTGCTGTCAGATGTTCTAAGGTGCTCTGGAGAAAGAGCTGGCCCTGCAGCAAGTGACTGCTTCTCAGCTGAGTGGTGGCATGTTTGAGTGTAAGCCCCAGCTCATACTTCCCCATAGCAATGGCAAGAAAATATTGAGAGCAGGGGGAAGATCTGGTAGGAGCAGGAGCTTTCTCTTCTGTAGGAGGGGTGGCTCTCCCTGAGCCATTGCTGGCACCACTCAGAGTGCAGTGATTAAGCAGAACAAGTGTTTTTAACTTAAAAACTAACTTCACATACCCTTCCACCCCCTTCTGAGGAATGGAACACAGCAGCTTGTAAACTGTCCTCAAAAAGCTGAGTGTTTTTTTTCACTTTCACAAGGCTTTAATCCTTTTCCTTCATTGGAATAAACTCAGAGGAATTCCTTGGAATACCAAGGTGTTATATCAGGATAAAATTAGGCAAGTAAAAGAGTTGTCCCATTGCTGTGTGCCTGGGAGCAGAGGGACCACTCCTGCAGGATGTGTTGTGAGCATGGAAGTCTGAGCATCCGTTCCCAGGATTTGCTCTATTTGGGTCTTGCAGTTTGGTGCTGAGAATTTTAACTTCTGTTGGACCCCATCAGACTGCACAGGGCCCAGCGAGATGCAGAACATCACGGGTTTCTTAGCTAAGGCTAATAAACACTGATTAACGTAAAATCAGTGATAGGCACGAAGATACACCTGGATAAGTGCTTTCTGTACCTGCTTTATACAGTGCTGGATAAAAGTTGGACAATCCCATGTATTCTCTGCACGACCTACCAGTTCATGATGGATGATGTCATATAAGTTAGGGTGTTAAGTGTGTAATGAGATTTAAAAAGAAGTGTATTTCAAAAATCATACCTTCCAGTAGCTTGTCACCGTTCCTGAGGCATCAAGAGGACTCGTGCTTTGAACATTTCTACAGTCGTGGCAGCTTCATGGGAGAGAGATGTAATAGGAGGAGAGTTGGCAAAACATACAATTAAAAAAAAAAGAGGTGTTAAAAATAAATCCATATTTAATGTAGAATTACAAGCTTTGCTTTTGTTGTTAGTACCTCTGACAAGGAGAGCCCCCTAATGTATTCACAGCCTTGTGCTCACAGGTACCTTGTATTCATCTACTCTCCCTCTTTCATGTGGGTTTTCTTCTTTGCATATGATTTTTTATTTCCTTTGCAGACTTCCATGAAGTTTGCCCTGCAGCTACAATATCAGAGGGACTGTGCCTTTACTTTGTTGTTTTCAATTTCGTTCCTTATTAAAAAGCCAAATCCTGGAGTATTGCAAAGCATGAATTTTGCTTTTAAATTACTGTTTGAAATGTTTCTTGCTCCTTCTCAGAACAGTTCTGTTGTCTTGTGCATTAACCATTTCAGATGACAGTACAGCTTTATATCACTATAGCATCTCTGAATTTCTTGGTGTATCTCTGCAAAATAACAAATCTAAGAGCACTGAGCAAACATCCTACACTGATGTAATTTGATTTTAGGAAGTTGTTTTTTTGTATGAAAACAGCAGAGTGTTACTGAAGCAAATACCTGGAGGTTGTGCTGAGTAGTTAGAAGTTAAAGCTTGGTACTGGAACTAAGTGACATGGGATGAATTAAATATTCAAGTGTGCATAGGTACTACTGTTGGAGGTGAATAAGTGTGTAGGTGAATATAAATACACAGGCGTAAATATTTTTACAGATCAAGAGAGAATGCAAAGGGTCTTAACCAGTTTCATTTTGGGAGTAAATAAGACAAATTTCTTTAACGGGCTGTATTGTATTATAGCAACCATGTGGAGGTGTGCACAAGGGCTAATTGCCCAGTGCAGGTGAATGAATGGGAAGGCTCTAGGTGAGATAAATGCAATTTATCAGATTGAGTAACAGTTTAGTAGATGACTGTATGTTGTCTCTGTACGTACCTACTGCCAGAGCCAAGGAAAACAATCAAAGTCTTCATTTCCAAATCTGCTGTAGCTCTGTTCTGCACTGGGTCAGGGGCTGAGTTAACAATACACACTATGCCCTTTGTGCTAACAGATAATATAAATAGGACAAACTCATCTGTTTCTAAAACCAGTGTAAATTTTCTTTTTGATTCTTGTGGTGTCATATGCCTGACAAGCAACAGAATTCAAATAAATCAGGCTTTGCTTTTGAGAGATCTGTATAAAAAGGGGGTTAATTTGCATCGAGAATTGTGGTTTTGTGAGTCTGGGCTTATGCACCATCTTCCACTGCTGACCTTTTAATTGGAAAGATACTCGAAATGTATATATGTGATACTCATCAGTGTGTACAGTTTGGAACGTTGGCAGCTTTAAAAAATAAATATTATAGCAGGAGGGCTGTATACAGGATGAAAGAGGTAAATTAGAGCTTCAGTTAGTGTTGAAAAATGAGAGTAAAAGGAAAAGAGAAGTGATGTTAATTACAGCAGAAGTGTTTTTAAATGTTTACATTTTTTTAAATACATTGCAAAACAGAAAGAGATCAAAACCTCTGAAGGTGTTAGCAGACTGATAAGAGAGCCCAAAATGTTTTTGGTACTTATTCCAGAATATGAGACATCTTTGCAAACATTGCAAAATTAGGCCAGGAACAGACTGGCAAGCCTTAAAGTCACTTAATTTAAAAGAAGCAACTTTTGCAGAATGCCTCGAAAGTGGGGAGAAGAGCAGAAAAGAATCCTTTCCATTTGCAATGTAGAAAGTCCAATACAGTAATGAGGAAGCCCCTGTTGTAATAATCTCTCTCTATAAAAAATATAACTGCTTTGTCTCAAGTAGCACCTTGTGACATGCAAGTATGTGACCACCGTGTGTTCACTGTGGGGACTCTGTTTCTTAAAATGGAGCTGTGACATTGAGAAAAAGACCCACGTGCAGTCAGGGCACTACAGGAAGGCAAAAAGTGAATTGGAGCCCTGGTTTACAGAGTACATTGATAATCAATATAGAGATGTGAATTCATTCCCCTCTGGGGAAAAAAAAAAGATGTGCAGGAACCATCTCACGCTGATGGAATTGGTGACTGTGTGGTCATAGTCCCTGTGACACCTCATCACATCCCTCTTCTCTACTCTGAGTGCTAAAGGGATTTTTCCCTAATCTATAAATGCCAAAAAAAAAAAAATGTGGTCAAAGAACATAAAGGCTGATAGAAAGCTTCCCAAAAAAATTCTCCTCTCCTAAAACACAAGAATTTAGAAGCCAAATTTTACATTTATGGTGATGGCCAAACTGTTCCAAGGGGGCAGCTTCTGACAGGAGAGAGCCCTGCCTTCCCCACCGCACTCTCGGTCCAGAAATGTAGCATTAAGCAAAATATAAAGGTAAAGTGTTTACTGCTTTAAAACCTTACTTTTCTCCATCAGGGCTGTCGTGGTTTGACACGGTTTGACATGGTATTCCCTTGGCCACTCCATCCTTCTCTCTGGGCTCCTTTTCAGCTTCTATGGGAAGCAGAAAAAAAGTCCTTGAAGATAAAGGGATTTTTCCCTAATCTATAAATGCCAAAAAAAAAAAAATGTGGTCAAAGAACATAAAGGCTGATAGAAAGCTTCCCAAAAAAATTCTCCTCTCCTAAAACACAAGAATTTAGAAGCCAAATTTTACATTTATGGTGATGGCCAAACTGTTCCAAGGGGGCAGCTTCTGACAGGAGAGAGCCCTGCCTTCCCCACCGCACTCTCGGTCCAGAAATGTAGCATTAAGCAAAATATAAAGGTAAAGTGTTTACTGCTTTAAAACCTTACTTTTCTCCATCAGGGCTGTCGTGGTTTGACACGGTTTGACATGGTATTCCCTTGGCCACTCCATCCTTCTCTCTGGGCTCCTTTTCAGCTTCTATGGGAAGCAGAAAAAAAGTCCTTGAAGAAATATAAACATCACCTGGAAACAACTAAAACAATATGCATCATTGAAGTTCCTTTCATACCAAATCTGAAACACAGCAACCACTGGAAAGAAAATTAATTCTGTCCCAGCCCAAACCAGGGCAATCACAGAATCACAGAATCCTCTAGGTTGGAAGGGATCTTAAAGATCATCTTGTCCAACTGTCAACCTAACTGACAAAAATAGACACCCACACAACAAACAAGGAGCATCACCATCACTAAACCAGACCTCCCAGCACTACATCAACCCGTCTTTTGAACACCTCCAGGGATGGGGCCTCAACCACCTCCCTGGGCAGCCCATTCCAATGCCTGAGAACCCTTTCAGTGAAAAATTTTTTCCTAATATCCAGCCTGAACCTCCCCTGGCGTAACTTGAGGCCATTTCCTCTTGTCCTGTCGCCTGTGACTTGAGAAAAGAGACCGACCCTCACCTCTCTGCACCCTCCTTTCAGGGTGCACATACGTAGTGCCCTAAATTCCCTCTTTTGATTTGAGAGGCACATATAAAACAAATCATTTATGAAGCCCACCTCTCTACACCCTCCTTTCAGGGTGCACATACGCAGTGCTCTAAATTCCCTCTTTTGATTTGAGAAGCACATATAAAACAAATCATTTATGAAATCGAGGCAGAATTTCTCACTGTAATATTTTGGAGTGAAATTCCACTTTAATATGGGTAGGTGAGTGCGTGTTGTCACTTGTTGCCTTCTTGGGTTTCTCAGGGTGGCAAAGCCACACTGCAAACCTTTGTCTGATAAAGATAGCTTCAGCAGTGTGTGCATTTTAGTAAACACATTGACAACTCCTTTTTCTTCCTCTGCAGCCTGTCACTGTCACGTCAATGGCTCCTTCTCACACGTCTGTGACTCTCGGACAGGCCAGTGCGAGTGCAAGGCCAACGTGATCGGGCGCCGGTGCGACCTCTGCCAGGTGAGCTGGACCAGAAATGCTGCTTTCTTCCAGTTTTCTTCCCTCTTTCTCATGACTAAATACAGTTTCAGTTTGGATAGTTTTTTTTTTTTGCTCATTTTTCACTTAAAGAACATACATGGGTTATTCTTTTGTACTGAATTGTAAAATGGCTTTTTTTAGAGGTTTTTCAAAGGTTTTTCTAGAACAAAACAAAAATATTTGTTAGTCTCTGATTTGCAATAAAAGTAGGATGCTAGTTGACTTCCCTGCAAATGTTCTGCTTTTATGGGTTTTTCTTAGGGCTTCTTCTTGTATTGTCCAAATAATGTATTCTTTTTGGGTGGAAATGTCTTTTGCCTCGACGTTGGTTTGCTGCCTCATAAATCACTGCAAAAAACAGTGTTTCAGGAACTTTGGCAGAGTTTTCTTTAGGCTGCCAAGAAATATGTTACAGGTGGCTGCAGGTTTTTCTAGCTCAGCGTGAGGACTTGTGGGTCAGGCCTGTGTCCATAGAATACCTCTGCCCGTGTGTCATTTGCAGCACATAAATCTGTAGAAATCACAAGGATTATTTTCCCCCTGCGTAAACTCCATCATTTTGGAAGAGGTTTGCTCACACTCCGTTTTCAACAGTATTTATTTAAAGAGTCCATTCAGAGAAAAATTGTTGGAATTTGCACAGATTGCATAATGTACACAGAAAATATGTCAGGCTTGTTGATATGATATTGGCTGTAGGTTGGAATTAATCTTTGTTTACTACCGTGTTTATTACTATCTTTATTCCTCTTCTCTTTTATTTGCTATAGTTTAATGATCTTCGCTTTCTAACAGTGTTTACTTTCCATTCTTAAAGCCCAACTACTTCTGGGCCCCAGACAATCTGTTCTGTGTACCCTGTGGCTGCAGTGCTTTAGGATCCGTGTCACTGCAATGCGATACGTCGGGAAGATGTATCTGCAAATCAGGATTCATGGGCAGACGCTGTGAAATCAGGAGGCAGGTGTCTAAATTGCAAGAAAATGCAGGAAGGAGCCAGCAGATCCGAGTTCCCCCTCGGAGATGGGGCGTCAGCGGGGCCAGCGGGTGCCCACGGGGCGCTTACCGCCCCGCTCCTCCGGTAACCAGACCCTGTGTGCATTGCATGGGCTGAAATCTCATATTTGCTTGTGTTTTGGAGCTCCAACAGACTTTTAAAATTTATTTTAAATTTGTAATACGTGTGCTATTAGAGACAGCCTTTTAGGATAATTCCCCATTTCTAGTGCTTCCCATAGTGGAAAGGACAACGCAAGCCAGAAGCGAAATAGCAGAATTAGTTCAAAAGCAGCACCATCAGCAGCAGGATGCACAAAATGTGTGGGTGACACACGTACAGCAGTGGCATCAGTGGGGTTTTCAATACCTGAAGGTTGCCTATAGAAGAGCTGGAGAAGGACTCTTTGCCAGGAAGGGTAATGATAGGACAAGGGGAAATGGTTTTAAATTGGAAGAAAAAAGATTCAGATTAGATCTCAGGAAGAAATTTTTTACTATGAGGGTGGTGAGACACTGGAACAGGTTGCCCAGGGAAGTTGTGGATGCCCCATCCCTGGAGGGGTTCAAGGCCAGGCTGGATGGGGCTTGGAGTAACCTGGTCTGGTGGGAGGTGTCCCTGCCCAGGGCAGGGGGGTTGGAACTCGATGATCTTTGAGGTCCCTTCCAACCCAAACCATTCTATCATTCTATGATTCATGGATGTGGCTTCCTCTTCTAACAATTCAAGAATCAAAAGCTCAAGGAGTTTGTAAAAAGGATCAGCCCCAGAGGCAACGAGTTAAGATCCAATCTTAAAATATCAAACATAACTGGTGTTAAAAGCTCTCATTAGTGAATACGGCCAGTTATTTGAGCCATTTCTACCCATCTGAAGTGCCCATTTGAATGTAATGCCCAAAATGGCAGAAGTATTCATTGCTTATCACATGCCAACAAACCAAATTATTTCCTAAAATGAAGTAATTATGATGCAACTGCTTCTACCAGAAGAGTTTTAGGAATGTTGAGTTTTTTCCACCTATAACCCAAAACCTCCACACTATCACACCTAGTTTGAAACGTGCCTGGCAGTGTTTTACCTAGGATCATAGAATGGCTGGGGTTGGAAGGGACCTTTCAGATCATCCAGTCCAACCATCAACCCAACACTGACAAAACCCATCACTGACCCATGTCCCTCAGCACCACGTCTGCCCGGCTTTTAAATACCTCCAGGGATGGGGACTCCACCACTGCCCTGGGCAGCCTCTTCCAGTGTGCAATAACCCTTTCAGTGGAGAAATTATTCCCAATCTCCATCCTAAACCTCCCCTGGTGCAACTTGAGGCCATTTCCTCTTGTGCCATGGCCTGTTCCTTGGGAGAAGAGACCGACCCCCCCTGGCTACACCCTCCTTTCAGGGAGTTGGAGAGAGCCAGAAGGTCTCCCCTCAGCCTCCTTTTCTCCAGGCTGAACACCCCCAGCTCCCTCAGCTGCTCCTCACCAGACTTGTGCTCCAGACCCCTCAGCCTTGGCCAGATTTGCTCGTGAATTCCCATTGGGAGAAGGAGCTTTTCCCCATCTAACACCTACCATGTATCTGTGTTTTCCACACAGATACTCGACATACACTGATACAGGGACAAAACATAACAACACACAGAAAATTTGTTGTATTTCCTCATTGTCATCCAGGATCTTATCTCCTGTTCAGTAAATGTGATTCTGAGAGTTTTGGTGTGTAAACAAGCTTCGCTGAGGGCTTAACTTGGGGGTTCATCTTGGGGGTTTGCATGACTGATCAAAACGTCTTTGAGTGTGCAGAGCTCATCACAGAACAGAGCCCAGCATGCCAGTGAGCTTCCCTTCCTTCACGCGGTGTGGACTGCTCATGTGTCAGATTTTTTATGGCTTTCCCCCTCATAAACAGAATTTATTAGCTCCTACCAAACCTTCTGTTGAGAACTGAGCTGCATGCTGTGCCTGGGTTACTTCACTGCACTAATCTGAGTGTCTGGCCTGAGATCTTTGCATATTCACTTTCTGTGTGTTTCCTCTCGTGGAAAAGAAACCTTCAGAGATAGTCTGTGTATTTAATTGAACCTTGGAGTTTAATTATATGAGCTTGAGTATTTCTTTCTCTCTGATGCACCGTGTTTTGTCATGCAGAAGTGTATAATTGTCAAAACATTTCAGAAATCGGAAATTAAAATCAGGGTAATTCTTTATTATATGTATAATCAAGCATTGGCTTAGGTTGATATGATTCTTCAGCCAAATTCTGACCCTAGGCGTGGTCCTGTCAACAGAATCTCTATGGGAATGTGAAACTTCAATATTAACCTCAGAGATCAGATTTCAGGACTTTTACACAGACGCCTGCTGGAGTCTCTGGGAATCCAGCTACACACGGGATTAGGGGCTCCACTGTGGAACAAATCTATGCAAAATGTAAGTCAGTGCAGCTCCACTGACTTGAAAAAAAGTCTGTACTGATGTATACTAGGCAAAAATCTAACACTACATGCCTGGGTCACACAGTAATACATTGTAAAACTAAGTGTTTTCCACTTGGTTCCATCTATATTCATTAGCAGTGATCTTTTGAATATCTCATTTTTAACATTTTGCTTTCGGAGTAACCTGGTCTGGTGGGAGGTGTCCCTGCCCAGGGCAGGGGGGTTGGAACTCGATGATCTTTGAGGTCCCTTCCAACCCAAACCATTCTATCATTCTATGATTCATGGATGTGGCTTCCTCTTCTAACAATTCAAGAATCAAAAGCTCAAGGAGTTTGTAAAAAGGATCAGCCCCAGAGGCAACGAGTTAAGATCCAATCTTAAAATATCAAACATAACTGGTGTTAAAAGCTCTCATTAGTGAATACGGCCAGTTATTTGAGCCATTTCTACCCATCTGAAGTGCCCATTTGAATGTAATGCCCAAAATGGCAGAAGTATTCATTGCTTATCACATGCCAACAAACCAACTTATTTCCAAAAATGAAGTAATTATGATGCAACTGCTTCTACCAGAAGAGTTTTAGGAATGTTGAGTTTTTTCCACCTATAACCCAAAACCTCCACACTATCACACCTAGTTTGAAACGTGCCTGGCAGTGTTTTACCTAGGATCATAGAATGGCTGGGGTTGGAAGGGACCTTTCAGATCATCCAGTCCAACCATCAACCCAACACTGACAAAACCCATCACTGACCCATGTCCCTCAGCACCACGTCTGCCCGGCTTTTAAATACCTCCAGGGATGGGGACTCCACCACTGCCCTGGGCAGCCTCTTCCAGTGTGCAATAACCCTTTCAGTGGAGAAATTATTCCCAATCTCCATCCTAAACCTCCCCTGGTGCAACTTGAGGCCATTTCCTCTTGTGCCATGGCCTGTTCCTTGGGAGAAGAGACCGACCCCCCCTGGCTACACCCTCCTTTCAGGGAGTTGGAGAGAGCCAGAAGGTCTCCCCTCAGCCTCCTTTTCTCCAGGCTGAACACCCCCAGCTCCCTCAGCTGCTCCTCACAAGACTTGTGCTCCAGACCCCTCAGCCTTGGCCAGATTTGCTCGTGGATTCCCATTGGGAGAAGGAGCTTTTCCCCATCTAACACCTACCATGTATCTGTGTTTTCCACACAGATACTCGACATATACTGATACAGGGACAAAACATAACAACACACAGAAAATTTGTTGTATTTCCTCATTGTCATCCAGGATCTTATCTCCTGTTCAGTAAATGTGATTCTGAGAGTTTTGGTGTGTAAACAAGCTTCGCTGAGGGCTTAACTTGGGGGTTCATCTTGGGGGTTTGCATGACTGATCAAAACGTCTTTGAGTGTGCAGAGCTCATCACAGAACAGAGCCCAGCATGCCAGTGAGCTTCCCTTCCTTCACGCGGTGTGGACTGCTCATGTGTCAGATTTTTTATGGCTTTCCCCCTCATAAACAGAATTTATTAGCTCCTACCAAACGTTCTGTTGAGAACTGAGCTGCATGCTGTGCCTGGGTTACTTCACTGCACTAATCTGAGTGTCTGGCCTGAGATCTTTGCATATTCACTTTCTGTGTGTTTCCTCTCGTGGAAAAGAAACCTTCAGAGATAGTCTGTGTATTTAATTGAACCTTGGAGTTTAATTATATGAGCTTGAGTATTTCTTTCTCTCTGATGCACCGTGTTTTGTCATGCAGAAGTGTATAATTGTCAAAACATTTCAGAAATCGGAAATTAAAATCAGGGTAATTCTTTATTATATGTATAATCAAGCATTGGCTTAGGTTGATATGATTCTTCAGCCAAATTCTGACCCTAGGCGTGGTCCTGTCAACAGAATCTCTATGGGAATGTGAAACTTCAATATTAACCTCAGAGATCAGATTTCAGGACTTTTACACAGACGCCTGCTGGAGTCTCTGGGAATCCAGCTACACACGGGATTAGGGGCTCCACTGTGGAACAAATCTATGCAAAATGTAAGTCAGTGCAGCTCCACTGACTTGAAAAAAAGTCTGTACTGATGTATACTAGGCAAAAATCTAACACTACATGCCTGGGTCACACAGTAATACATTGTAAAACTAAGTGTTTTCCACTTGGTTCCATCTATATTCATTAGCAGTGATCTTTTGAATATCTCATTTTTAACATTTTGCTTTCCTACTGAAGTCTCAGGTAGATCTTGACTATTAAATGTTGTAAGTGAAGTAAGTCATGTGATTTGGGTATCGATATTCTCTGAAAATCATCATACCTGAAAAAAGGTAGAAAAACACCCCCAGCCAGTTACATGGCAGAACAGTCATTATAGCATTAGGTGACATTCTGAAATCTTTATTCTTTTTCACCTGTGTAGGGTACTTAAGGCCCTTGCTGTTATGTTTTACTGCTACAGTTCAACTTGTTAAGAGTAGAATTTCAGTGACAAAGAGGAAAGAACCACCCTGCTCTCTCTACACTCTCAGCTTTTCCTCTTTTTCTCCTGGTAACCCTTCTGTGCACCAACTGCTCTCCCTCCCTCTCTCTGTGGCAGCCTGAAACATTTGGCTTGGAGTCGTCACGGGGATGTGTTCCCTGCAACTGCAACTCCTTTGGGTCCAAGTCCTTTGACTGTGATGGAGATGGACAGTGCTATTGCCAGCCTGGAGTGACAGGGAAGAAGTGTGACCGCTGCGCTCATGGATTCTACAACTTCCAAGAAGGAGGCTGTACCCGTATGTGAATTCTATTTATTTATTTATTACTAACATTCATGTTTGGCTGGTCTCGAATTGCCTACCGAATGTTCCTGGCAGGTAGGTATTTTCCTAGCCCTGTAAATCGGTCAATGGTGATTGGCAAGAACAAAAGAAAAACCAATTCCTGCTATTTTAAGGTCAGTTTATGGCTGATCTGCCACGTTTAGGAGGAACAGGAGCATCCTTTTCTCCTGCTAAAAGTTCCTATAGTTTAGTTATGGTAAGAGTATCAGAAGGCTGATTAAGCTGCTTGCCAAATCACATCAGTTTGAAGGGATGTGAATGGGAAAAAAAAGAGAAAAAAAAAATCCCTTTGCTTCTAGTTTTGTCTCAAACCTTTTCACTGTCCTTACATGGTTAATCTTTTTTATTAAATTTCTATAAAGTAATATTTAGAATCTTGCTCACTTGTATACTTTTTGTGTACAACAAGATCTTCAGATAAAATTTTTTACTACGTCCCTTGTGTAAACACACGAAAAGTATGTTTTTCCAGATGCTGCAACTCTATGATCAGACATAAATATACCCAGTCACTTCTTTACATTTATGTTTGTCCTTCTGGACATAGGTCAAAAATGAACATTTCCTGTCCTTAAAGCAGTACAGACTGCTCCATTGAAAAGAACCTTATAAATAGGGCTCTTCACAGGGAAATACCCAACTTTGCTAATAGAACTGTATTTTTAGAGTCTCGTAGACTCACTTAGGTGTGATCACGGGAGACGTAGATAGTTGTCTAGAGTGACTAGCTGCTGGGCTGCCTGCGTGGTGATGGCCCCACAGCATCCTTTGCTGATGGCAGAGTGCAATGGAGCCAAGGATATTGCTGATATTCCTTAGGCAGAATCTGTATTCTTTCCAGAAGCGTTTTTTACTCCCTTTTTTTCTGTGTGAAAGGAGCATCAAGGCCTCGAGATCCACATCTGTGCAACACAATTCAAAATTTCAACTGTAGCGTTGATTAACCTTGAGCCAAGCTGGATTATAGATCATATTTGGAAATATTACTCTATGGTGGTGTCTCCCAGGGGAAGGAAGGGCTCAGAAAACATTTACCACCTTGAAAAGGGCAAACATGTTGGCACCATGGCAAAAGGGAAGGTTGGGTCACGGGCTCACTGAGGAGAGAGCTTGAAATAAAACTCCCTTAACACGTGTACGGAGGGGAAAAAGCTTGAAATAAAACTCCCTTAACACGTGTATGGAGGGGATATTATAGTTTATCTTTGTGATTAGTTTCTTGTTCTAACATTTCACTGCTTAAAAGTACATCGCTGTTGTGAAATGCTACAAAATGGTGTTCATTTCCTACAGTTGGGGAAGGAAAATGAAAGGGCAATTAACAAGATTTTCCACAGAAATGTTAACTGCTGTCTAGGCAAACTTGAAATGACAGAATTTAAGGAACAGAGGTGAAATGGGAAAGCAGTGTAAGTCCAAACAATGTTTTAAATCAAAATGTATCTGCCTGTAGTCATCCAACTATTTTTAATAACTACAACAGCTAAAGATGTTCAGAAATTTGGTGTTTTAAAAGTTCCAAAGTTAATACTTTGATGGATTGAGATGGATGGAAAGGAATTCTGTTTTCAAAATGCTGGTTTTTCCCCACTTATTTTTAGTAGGCTTTTTATGTATTCCTTCAAATGACAAAAAAAGAGGATTAAATTATGAATCACAGAGAAAATCAGAAATTTAATAAAAGTATATCAAATCGTGGTAGGAAGAAAGTGCACAAAACTGAATTCCATAGTGACAGTTAAGTATTGAATAAAATATTGGACCTCTTTTACCTAGCATTTATCCAAAAGAAATATAATTTGATTTTTTCTTGTGCAATAAAAAACCATAAAGCCTTAAAAAAAACCATAAAGCATCATCAGTTAGTGTTGACATTCTAGCAGCAACGATACAAGAGAGATTTCTATTTCACTATTGCTTGCAACAAATGTGTTGTATTTCTTCCACATTCTTTTAAATAATGATAAAAGTAAAAATGAAAAGAATATTGGTGTATCACTTTCTTCCCCTCCGTGCCTTTTGAACCCATTTTGTGTAAGAAATGGAAGCCTATGGAAGAGCTGTCATGTCCAAAACCCTCAGTCTCTCAATGAGAGATGTTTTCTGCAATATCTTCAAGCCACTGTTTGTCACAAGATTTTATGTAGCATGAAAAATGTCTTATTCCTGGAATGATGGAGGCAAAACTTACTGTCTTCTTTGCATCAGTTACATTATTTCGAAAGCATTGATGGGGAAAAATAAAAATCACTTCTTATTTCAACTATAGATATGAGTTCTGTCTTTGCACAGCTCTTACTTTCTAGTTTTACTCTGAATGGAAGTATTTCATGCAGTAAAGGCAAGGAACGTAAACACAGCCCTCAGCAATGAACATGATGTTACACAGCCCTGTAAACACCCCAAGGAACAGATTGTTGCCCAGAAAGTCATAGTTTTCTAAACATGCTTTTGCTCTTACCTCAGGGGTAATGTTGATGATGGGGATGAATGAAAATAACCACACACCAGTTCTTCTCTTCCAAGCAATTACGTGTGCTGTGTCCCATGACTACTTAATCACTTAAATACCCTGAATCTGCATTTCATAGAATCACAGAATGGTTTGGGTTGGAAGGGACCTTAAAGATCATCCAGTTCCACCCCCCTACCATGCGCAGGGCCATCTCCCACCAGACCAGGTTTCTCCAAGCCCCATCCAGCCTGGTGTTCAAAAGATCTCTCATTTGCCAATGAATTGTTCACTTAATAATGCATTAACAGCAAAGACCACCTTTGGAAACATTTCCAAAACTAAAGTATTTTTAATTGAATAAAATCTGCAAAGAAGCTCATTTTCCTTGGAAGACGCACATTGTTGATGTCCTCCCAAGGTGGAATACATGTAATCTGAAAGAAAGGAGCAGAATGGGAAAAAGAAACTGAAACACCTTTTTTGTCCCTTAAGAAAATTCTGCTTAGGGCTGCAGAGATTTCAGGGGGGTTGGCTGAGATTGGCAGAAGAGTTAAAACACACTCCAGGTTTCTTGCACAGAGGGCTCAGAGTCAGTCAGGTGGCTTCTTGCCCAAGACCACCTGGGCCCAGAAACTGTAGGGTTTTTCCCACATCCATGTCCAATGAGTGCACCATCGCAGAAGACAACCAGAGAAGCTGTGGCTGCCCCATCCCTGGAGGGGTTGAAGCCCACGTTGGAGGGGGCTTGGAGCAACCTGGTCTGGTGGAAGGTGTCCCTGCTCAGGTCAGGGGGTTGGAGTTAGATGATCTTTAAGGTCCCTTCCAACCCAAACCATTCTATGATTCTATGAAATCTGCACTTCTACAGTTGATAACTTTGTTTTTCCCCTTTTGTTCTCACAGCAGTTACTTCTGCCTCAGGTAACCTGTGCTGCTCCTGGCTTGGGTTTCTCTGGGCTTCCCCTGCCTTTCCTGCCCCGCCATGCCCACAGATAACTGAGAGTTCCCCGTGTGGACAATGCTTTGGTGGAATGATTCTAACGCTCTTAGGGTCTGCTCTCCAGGTGTCACATAAAGGGGTAACTTTTCCTCTGCTTTATTGTTTTTTTCTGTCTCCCTGAAGCCTGTGAGTGTTCACGTTTTGGTGATAACTGCGATCCCATCAGCGGCCGCTGTATCTGCCCCCCCAACACCGTTGGAGAGATGTGTGACAGATGTGCACCGAATCACTGGGGCCACAGCCTTGTCAGTGGCTGCAAGGTGAGTGGATCTCTGCTTTCTCTGCACGTGTTACCTCTTTCCTGTGGGGTAAATACAGTCATTTGTAGCTGGAACACAATTTTAGGGTTTTAAATCACGGTTTCTTGTGGCGTTGTGAATTTTGGTGGCAGACTGTGGTGTAAATGTTGGCAATGTGTTGCCCCAACCCTGGAAGTGTTCAAGGCCAGGCTGGATGGGGTTTGGAGCAACCTGCTCTAGTGGGAGGTGTCCCTGCCCATGGCAGGGGGTTTGGAACTCGATGATCTTTGAGGTCCCTTCCAACTCTAACCATTGTATGATTCTATGTGTTACTGAGCAGAGCAGATCCTCTGTCTCAGGTGTGCAGCCTGGAACACCAAAGCCCTCTTTATACCTCTGTTGTGCTGAGTCAGGGTCTCGCTTGAGCCTGATTTCTTTTATTATAGCTATTTTTAACGTGATTGAGGAGATTACCACATTATTGCACAGTGTATGTAGAGGTATAGTTACAGGGAACTGCCAGTGCCTTTGCAGAACAAGTTTACTTTGCCCCTAATTTTGAGACCACTGGGAATTTGTGCTTGGAGCTTCCTTGAGAATGGCTTGCACATAAAAGACACTGAAAAGAGAAGGAATGAAACAGCCACCTTCGCTGTATTTGCCCCTAATTTTGAGACCACTGGGAATTTGTACTTGGAGCTTCCTTGAGAATGGCTTCAACTTGTGCATAAAAGACAGTGAAAAGGAATGAAACAGCACCTTAGCTGTAAATGCACTTTCTTCTTATGTTCTTAAAGGGGAAATAAGCCTACTCATTAGCCTTTAAATCCTTCTTATTCCAGTGTTTGACACAGTTAAAAAAATTCTGAAGGGGAGGGAAGAAGGGAGAAGAAATAGGAAGATGATGATAGTATGTCAAAGAGGCCATGAAAGCTGTTGTTAATGTCCTACTCTGGAGTTCAGGGAGGCAGTATTTACTTAAGGTTGAAAGCTGGTGACATTGAATATTGTGCAAGGTTCAAATGCCTTCCCCTCTCCGCCATTCTTATTGATGATGAGGGATTTATAGTACTGCTGTAATTACTCCAAAAAAACTACGTCTTGTCTGAACATGGTGATACACCATTAATGCTCTTTCTTAAAAAGCTGTTTGTCATGTAGCTCAGGCTGCAAACTAATTATCAAGAATGATTTCTTTTTTGTATCTATGGAAAATTCCTCTTGTGAAACCTCTGCTGTGCTGCTGTGATACAGACTCTTGGCTTCTGAAACCAGCCTAATGAGGTTGAAGACCTCTCTTTGAGCTCTGGAGTATATCCGCTGCTTGTCTTTCATGTGAGCGCATTAGTATGGCAGCTCCATGGCACCATCTAAATTAATCATGATCTATCAGCCCGCATCTCTTTCAGCAAGTTGCAGCTAATTTCTGCAGAGTGAGATGTGAATCTGCTCCCCGTGCTGTCGGGAGGAGATTTCCAGAGCTGTCGTTAACTCAGGGGGAGAAAAAGCATTGCTTAAAACTGCTTGCTCACAAAACAAACATAACACCTGATTGTAATTTGGGTTTTGATATTGCACGCCAAGCTGTTTCAACGTGTGGTGAACAAGTTGCTTTCTAAGCTTTGTGTTCAAATGCATCTTGTAGAATGAGGTTCATTGTATCAGAAGGTTTTATTGCTGAGGTTAGGTAGAAGTCTAGCGGTCTGTCATTTCACAGAATCACAGAATCTTAGTGGTTGGAAGGGACCTCTGAGATCATCGAGTCCAACCACAAAAAAAAAAAAAAAACCCCAAAAAAACCACCTCAAACAAACAAATACCAAACACACCACACCAAACGCCCACCAAAAACACTGCACCCACCAACTAAACCCCACACTCAACACCTCACCATAAACCAATAACCTTGGGCACTAGAGCATGCCCTGAAGAGCCATGTCTATACGTTTCTTAAATACCAGGAGTTAAACATTCCCTGGCATTCAGTAAAGACTGGGCTTGAATATTTCCCGTATATAATCACCTTCTTTATAAATGGTCTTTTCAGATCAGAGGAAAGGTGCTTTGAGTCTTCATGTAATAAACAGAATCACAGAATTATCTAGGCTGGAAGAGACCCTTGGGATCATCGAGTCCAGCCATCCACCCTACTCTAAAGTTCTCCCCTACACCACATCCCCCAACATCTCCCCTCAGTCTCCTCTTCCCCAGACTGAACACCCCCAGCTCCCTCAGCCTTTCCTCATAAGACTTACTCTCCAGACCCCTCACAAGCTTCGTTGCCCTTCTCTGGACCCGCTCCAGCACCTCAATGTCTTTCTTGTGGTGAGGGGCCCAAAACTGAACACAGTACTCGAGGTGGGGCCTCACCAGTGGCCAGTACAGGGGGACGATCACCTCTCGGGCCCTACTCACCACACTATTCTTGATACAGGCCAGGATGCTGTTGGCCTTCTTGGCCACCTGGGCACACAGCTTTGCTTTGAGACCCAATCCACGTTTTCCTCCTCTCTTTTTCAGCATTGTGTCCTTAAATTTAGCGAGTCTCCCCGTGTCAGTTACTGTGGTGACCTGTGCTCCTGGCGCTGCCTCTGCTGCTGCGAGCGGGGAGGAGATTCCGGTCACGCCAGCGATGGCAGCAAATGTCCTGTGCTAACTTTGCAGTATGGTCATAGTAACAGCACTGAGGGACCCTTCTGCTCTTTGGAAGTGTGCGGCTTTCCCTGCTACTTACTTCTCAGTATCTCAACCCCCCTGGAAAATCAGCTATTTCTGTCCTTCCCTGCCTGTGCCAGTCTCACTCTGTGAGCAAGTTGACTTCCCAGCACGCGACGTGACTAAATCTCTGTCCCTTACCGTGTAAATTACTGGCATCTGAGAGTCCTGCTCCTACAAAGAAGATAGTTGCCTGTCTGATGGATGAGTAATAAACATTGACCTAAATTCCACTGGGACCACCACCCCTGAGCAATTCCAGTGTTAGCAAAGAGGTCTGCACATGCCCTGCAGAGGCTGTACATAAAAAGCACTTTTTAGGGAGTGCTTACAGTTTTAAAGTTAATTTGGTCTGCTAAGTATCCCAGTGTCTTGACCCTTTTGGATTTATTTGATTTCACTGCCTAACATCAGTGATAAGTAATATCTGTTCAAAAAGAAAGGAGTGTTGTAAATGTGGTTAGTGTAATTGCTTGACCTTTATTGAATAAAGATAAATGCCCAGCCTTATAACTCAGATATATTACTTCTGAACAGTGGAAATTCACTGCTGTAATTTATTTATAGCGACTTGAAAGAGGCGAGTTGCTTTTTTGTTGGGTTTGTTGTTTTTTTGCAGAAGCACAATTCCAATTTTCTCCTTGTTTCCCTTCCTTTTCAGCCCTGTGACTGCAGCCTCATCGGAGCCCTGAGTTCTCAGTGTGACTTAAATACAGGCTGTTGCTTCTGCCGCCCTGAATTCTCCGGGGATAAATGCACCGAGTGCAGGTTGGGTTTCTGGAATTATCCACAATGTCTCCCTTGTCAGTGCGTCCTGGCGGGGACCGACCCGCGGAGCTGTGACACGGAGCTGGGGAAGTGCTCCTGCCTCGATCACAGCGGCCAGTGCAGCTGCAAGGTAGGACAGCAAAGCTTGTGAGCTGATCTTACAGCTGCGGAGAAGCTTATTCCAAAATTCCTTGACATTTGTACTTGCCTGTTCTGACAATACACGCCAAAAAAAACCTGGTTGGTTTTCATAGTGTTATTTGCCAACTGCTGTGGGAGGAGTCCGACGTAAAGAAAGGCTTAAGTGCTTATTAGTTGCTTTTTCACACACTCTGCCACGTGCCAGGAGAGCAAGTTCTTGCAGAACTGTTGCCAATTTAACCCCATTCGATACAATTCTTGTTCAGATATTTGGGAAATTAAAAAGCAAACACATCAGTAATGATAATATGGCAGAGTGCTAGTTATTTATAGTATATTGACTTAAAGGGAGTAAACACTGATCATTTTCTAGGTAGAATTCACTGCAGTAGCATCCGTGCTTCTGAGCAGACTGCATCCAGTTCAGGATCACTAAAGCAAAGACTTTTGGCATCATCACCCACCGCCTTCTTATTTGGAACTGGAAGAACAGCACACTTCAGTGGTTTGAAAATTGGCTGGGTTGCTGGGCTTGAAGGGCAGGAATTGGTGGTTTGGCACAGAGTTGGTAGCCAGCAGAGTAGCCCAGAGACAATACCTTCATCAGTGACACAGGTGACAGAACCCACCATCAGTGACACAGGTCCCACCATCAGCAGATTTGAGAACATTACTGATCTGGAAGAGGTAGAGCACGTCAACATGCTGAACAGTAGAACTCCAATCTAGAGGGTCCTTGAAAAGCCTGATGATTGGGAAAATAGGCCATGAATTGGAGTGGAATAACCTCCAGAATTAGTACAGTCTGGGAGGAGAAAGGCTGAGGATAAATCCTGCTGAAAAGCACACATGGGCTTTGGGGAATGGCAAACTGAATAGAAACCATTGTAATATTTTAAATAAGGCAAAGTGCCTTCTGAGCTGGATGCACTGATCATCCTGGCCCATGCAGCTGTGAGGTAGGACATCGTGAAGAAGGTGACCAGCAGAGGAAAATCTTTATCCCCCTCAATGCTGGTAAGATTGCGCTTGGAAATGGTGTCCAGCCTTAGGATCTGATTGAAGAACACAGTTAAGAAACTGGAGGGGATCCAGAGAAGGGCTGCAAAGAGCCGTAGAGCAGATGATCTGTAAAGATGTACTGAGAGAATGGGGCTCTTTTAGTCTGGAAAAAATAGAGGCTGAGAGAAAATGCAGCCTCCAGCCACTTCAGAGGGTAGTTGATGGAGTCAAGTCCTGTCTGGTAGTAGCAAAAGATGTGACAAGGCACAAGAGCTGCATATGGCAGCTTAGGAATTTTGGGTGGGACATTATGAAAAAAAAAAATCACTAGAAGGATTATGCAACATTTGAACAGATTGTCCAGAAAGATTGTGAAATCCCCATCCTTGGAGGTTTTCAAGAACTGGCTAGAAAGAGCCTGGGTGACCTGGCATAGTCATTGGTGATAGTCCCACCTCAAAGAGGAGGTTTTTAAAAGTGACCTCTAGAGATTAGATTCCTTCTGTGATTTTGATTCATTCTTTTTCAGGGACTGTATTGACACAAAGAGCTAGTAAAATGGAAAGATGAATTTAAATGATTGAATTGTCAGGTAATTATTTTGTTAAATGGGCACCAGTCGCTTCATTCTGGGTTTAAAGGGTAGACTCAGTGGAGGAACTGAGACACAAATTAGATCAGAAGGAACCTATGGAGGTCATCTAGTCCAGCCCCTTGTTTCAAAGACATTGCTGAGGCAGCGCTTCCAAGGATGAGGATTTCACAACCTCTTTGTGCAAACTCCTTGACCACTCTCCCATTTTTCTGGTGTCTTTGAACAGAAAACATCATGTTCTATTTCAGAAATACCGATTCATTTGATGGTGAGACTATAAAAAAGCTGGAGTGAGTTGATCATGTGGACCATCTGAGTAAAGCTCAGCCTGGTGATGGCTGTTATTTGCCCTGTGTCATTCGAATGGAAAAACAGAAGTATCCCAGTTCTTTGAGCCTCCCCTGATACGTGATGGGCTCCAACCCCTCTAACCATCTTGGTGCCCCTTTTCTTGATAAGTTCCAGCATGTCATTGTCTTCCTTGAAGCTCTTGTAAGGACTAAGTAGAAAGAACCCCCCCCTTCTTTCTGGCATTTTTAAATAGACATGTTTCTTTGTTGATTCTTTTAAGGCTAATACAGTTACTTCTGTGTTTCTATGAATGCAAATTAACAGTATATATTTAGCTGATGATTAATGATAAGAAACTGCAATTGACAGGAAACAAAACGCAAGGCAAGTAAAATTCACAATTTATGGCAGAAAGTGGACAAATAATACTGAATTAAGTCAGCAGATTCCTCCCTCCCCTCCCCTGAATTTAAACCTAAGGTTAAATTTAAATCTAGGGTTGGTTAAACTTTTTTGAAAGAGTTATATATTGAAGAAGCTAGATTTTTATAAAATGGTAATCATTCCCATTTAAACCTGCTGTTGGAGCTGCAGAAATGAGCTTTCAAAGGCTCAGGAGCCCCTTTGTCAGCCCTGACAAAAAGCAGCAAAATATAAGCTAAATACAGCGTAGGCACATTTGCTGACAGGGTTACGTGTGGAAATGGGGGTTAAAAAATCCTTGGGGATAATGCTGGTCTCCCGTATAAGCTTTGGAAACTTGAATTTGTTTTTTAGATTGGCTTCTTCACATTACTCTCAAGAGAAAAAAAAAAAAGCTGGGGGAGGAAAAGCCAACCACTGCTTTCATGTTGATGAATTTTTTTTAAATACCTTGGTCACAGTATGAAAATGGTTTTAAAAGGCTATGCATAAATTATTGTGTATCTGGCCCTATCTGGTATAGCTTTTTATTTGGACTAATTGAAAAATGAAAATAAAAGCATTGACATTACAGCAGTGAAACATTTCAGCCTTGTTAATACTGCTCAATGATGTGGAAAACAATCACGAAGAGGGGAAAGCTTTTCTCTGCGATATTTCCATTAAAATACATCAAGAAGAACATTTAGTACTGTACCTTAAACATTCTAACTTGTCAAAACTAATTCCTATGAAACAAAAGGTTTGATTAGCCCTGGCAATTTCAGGAGGGCGTAGTTTTTCTTGTCTTATCAATCAGTTATTGAGCACTTCATGCCCAAAGCGCCGGTTGATTTTTGTGTGCTTCCAAGTGTCAGGAGGAAGCCAGCATCCATTGCTGAGAGCTACTCTGTGGATACAAATGCAAATGCCTCAATTACATTAATTGTGTGTGTTTGCATACACACGCGATAAGAAGCTGGAAAGTTCCTTGAATATTTCTGCACGCTTATGATTATTTCTTTCCACAACTCGATGTTATCTTTGCTGCGTGATTTTCAGGTTTTTTATGACCACCTCAAAATAAAGCTTGCTTTTTTGAAAAAAAAATAATAAAAAACTTCTCTCTCTTCCAGGCTAACGTGGAAGGTGTCCACTGTGAGGGGTGCAAGGCTGGTACCTTTGGTCTCTCTGCCAGAAACCCTTTTGGCTGCAGCACCTGCTACTGCTTTGGCCGGAGCTCCCAGTGCAGCGAGGCGCAGGGGCTGGTCCGCCTGTGGGTGAGTGGGAGCTGCTGAGCCATGAACCCCAATAATGCTCTTTCCTGCTGGTGCCTTTAAGCCAGGCACTGAGAGGTAGCTCCAAAGTGGCCAAACATTCAAGCAATCATTTTCCTCTTGATACTTTAAAAAGTTGAGAGCGCGGTGTGTTCCATTAGACGCTCAGGGTCAAGGCTTTAAGAGGAAACTTGATACTTTAAAAAGTTGAGAGCGCGGTGAGTTCCATTAGACGCTCGGGGTCAAGGCTTTAAAGGAAGGCAGTAGATTAGAACACTGGTGGTGGAAGAGCTGATGTCAAACCAAAGCAAAGTTATTAAAGCTCAGGGAAGGGGAAGTTCATCATGTGGGGAAATTATGCAGGTCAGTGCATTGTAACATAATCTCTGGTATGTGATACACAGTTTACCCAGGTGCATTTGAGGGTCACAGATGCTCGTTGCCCAGCATAGATTTCCCATGGTTCAAATAATCTGTTTATTTTCATTCTTTTGCTTTGGTTTTGTAATTTATTTTTTTTTTCATTTTTAAATAAGAGCTTATTAAAGCTCTACTTCAATCACAGAATCTTCTAGGTTGGAAGGGACCTTAAAGATCATCTTGTCCAACCGTCAACCTGACTGACAAAAATAGACACCCACACAACAAACAAGGAGCATCATCACTAACCCATACCTCCCAGCACTACATCAACCTGTCTTTTGAACACCTCCAGGGATGGGGCCTCAACCACCTCCCTGGGCAGCCCATTCCAATGGCTGAGAACCCTTTCAGTGAAAAAATTTTTCCTAATATCCAGCCTCCATCAGAGCAAACGAAAAGCTCTCCACCTTTTTGTGCAGCAGGCCCTTGAGTCCTGTGCTGTGCTGATGAGGGAGCCTGGGTGTCTCCATCTACCTGTGCAATGAGCTCAAAACACACATTGAGACCTCTGCTGTCTGTGTCTGCTGGGCCAGCTCCTCAGTCACATTCCAGAGGGGCTATTTCTGATGGAAAATGACCAGTTCAGTCCCTACATAATGGTCAGTCACATCTCTGCTGGAATGTATGTCAACCACAGAGGGAATGTCTGCCTAATGCAAATCAAGCCCCTGACTCGTGGTGCACAAGCGTGAATTGGATAAGGATAATTTGGGCTGAAATCAAGGTGTGATCTCTCACTAAAGAGTTCATATCCCTTAGTTAAAGGAGTATTGAATAGCACCCGTTCTCCCCTTCATTGTTCAATCCAATAGCACCCCTTTCCCTTCCCAGTGGATGAAGTGATTTATCATGATCTGACCCAGTTTTTCTCATTATGTCAGCGTTGCCCATCATATGCTGGTAGGCTGGAGATGGAAGGCTGTAAAAGGCTGACAAGTTATAGAATTTAATCAAGTTCCATGACAGCAACAGTTCTGGAAAATTGTGCTTTGACCCTTGTGGCAGCTCAAAGCAGAATCCTCCTGATTATTTTGTGTCTCCTATTAATTTCCTTTCCTATTTATGGTCATATCTAAACAAGTGCATGTCCACGTCTCATCTAGTTTATGGTACTCTGATCTCTTTCAGAATTGATTCAGAGTTGTAAACTGAGCGTGACTGGCTTCTATCAGCTGCTAGGGACTATTTCAGATACTGTCAGGTGCTTCAAATGGCATTAGACATGTTTAAAGAAGCAAATCCTGTCTTATATGGCAGTAAGGCAAGGCTGATCTGAAATTCAAATATGTTGACCACTTTCTTGATGTCTAAGGTAGTAAACAGTAAAATATTGTTAGGATTGGAACTTGGGAAATCTGGGAATGTTGGCAGGGCTTCCTTCCAGGTCTGGTCAGTCCGTAGGTGCTGCTGTAGATGGAAACACCAAGAGGTTTAAAGTACAGTAAAGGGCTTGGCTGATTCCTCGTTACCTGATCCCTGAGCAGGGCATTGATGGCCTCACTGGTGGAGATAGAACTCTGCTTTAATTTTCTTTGTTTTCCACACTCTTTGGGAGAAAGCAATTTTGATACCAGCCCTCTGCATTTGTTCCCTGTGATACTTTCATCTGCATGGAATTGCTAACTCTTATGACAGTTTTTGAGCGAAATAATTAATTCTGCTATTGAGAATCTTTCAACAAGTCTAAGAAAATTACAAATATCTAAGTGACATCCTTATGTTTTTCACTAAATCTGAATTTAGAGTTACAGAAATCCCAAGCCCCCGCTCTCTGCATGTTGCCCAGAGAACTCTTAGTTTGGCTATTGCATAAAAGTACCACAGGATCAGGTGCCACGTCCCACAGCCCCAGGGATGTACAACAAGTGTTGGTGAGAAATATGGTACATATTCCTTAAGGTACATTTCTCAGAATTCAAACAGAACTGCCCTCGGACTGAAATAGCACAATGAAAATTGCTCGAATAAAATTCTTGGGCTCATTTGCTGATGAAACTGTTTTAATCAGTGCCGGTATGTTCTTCGTTAACATGAGGATAAGGTGCAAAAAGCTTGAGGGGGAAGTAATTATTATCACTGTTTATACCTGAAGGAGGAGTAAGGCTGGTTTGTGACAAGTGAAATTACCTAGAAATAATTTTTTAAAGAGTTAGAATTTAAAGACTGACATTTCATGGCGAAAATAGACTAGATATTCTTCTTGTTATTTTTAAATACGTGTAGGTGACCTTGAAGCCAGAGCAAATGGTTCTGCCACTGGTGGATGAGCAGCTCCAGCGCAGCACCCTCTCGGGGGTTGCCTTCCAGCCGCCCGAAATCGTCGCCAATATAGAGCAGGTGATGCAGGAGCTTCGCTCAGAACCCGTTTACTGGAGGCTCCCAGAGCAGTTTGAGGGAAAAAAGGTAAACATAAAATTCCACTGAATACTGACATGCGTTTATATACTTTTAAATCTTATATTTGTATTTTGCAATGTGTTTTTCCCCTTCCAATAAGTATGTCATCACACAGTGGAAAGTACTTCAAAAGAAAATAAGTGCCATTCTATTATTAAAAATTATTTGCTCCGTTATCATCGAAATTCATGTCTGTACCATAAACACTATTTCAAAATATGTGTTTACAGTCAGTAACATGTAGTATTCAGCCACAAGATAGATTCTCTCACAAAAATGTTATTTGAAAAATTCAGCTGCATTCACAGAATCACAGAATCTTCTAGGTTGGAAGGGACCTTAAAGATCATCTTGTCCAACCGTCAACCTGACTGACAAAAATAGACACCCACACAACAAACAAGGAGCACCATCACTAAACCAGACCTCCCAGCATTCATTTACTATGACTCTCTTGTAAATTTTTGTTTCTCCCCATTTAAAAACAAACAACAAAAAAAAGCCTGATCTTTGTAAGTTACACAGGAGAAAATGGTTGAAATAACCCCCCTTTTGGATGTCTGTGACAATTTATTTTGCGCTTTTGATATGTCTTGGTTTGGCGTGGGAAAGTTTAGGTGTTTCTCTCTCTAAGCACAAACTTTGGGGAGCACCAGGGCACACAGAATGAAATAGATAGCATTTCAGTTTTGGTGTAGCACAATAACAAATTGCTGATGGGTGTTTTTGAACACAGCCCTTATCCCCAGCTAGTTCTTGGAGCGTGGATTGCTATTTTCTACCACACGTGTGCTCACCAGACCTCACACAGGTGCAGAGTGGATCTCGCTCCTACGTTTGCCCAGGGATCTATTTTTAACTACCTGAGAATGAGATTTAATTTGTGTTTTGCTTTGTTAGTTGACCGCTTATGGAGGGAAACTGAAGTATGCCATCTACTTTGAAGCTCGAGAAGAGACGGGTTTTACCACTTACTACCCACAAGTCATCATGAGGGGTGGACCCCCCACCCACACCAGGGTTCTCGTCCGGCACGTGGCTGCCCCTTTGATCGGGCAGTTGACGAGGCATGAGATAGAGATGACAGAGGTAACACTTCCCTCTGCTTTTTCCCCCAAAACTTAAGCCCCAAATCCTTTTAAATACCGTTAATAACCTGGTTTTGTACGGCTGTCTTTTAGCACGAATGGCAGTATTATGGTGATGACCAAAGACTCCGAAACACTCTGCCCTGGGAGTATTATCGTGATGACCCAGGTGTCAACAGGACGGTGTCCCAGGTGGATTTCACATGGAAGCCTTATGGAGATGACCCAAGACCGAGCAGAGCTGTAACCCGGGAAGACTTCTTGAATGTCCTGTATGACGTTCATTACATTCTAATTAAGGCTACTCATGGCAATATCATGAGGCAGAGCAGGTAATTATTAAATGCAGTAATCTGCAGTTGTGCAGGAGGCCCAGATAACCTGATAAAGCTCCCCAGCAAAATTGTTGTTGATAAGCCATAAGCAGCTGCTGAGAAGAACAGGAGTTAGCATTCAGCATAGCAGCAGATGAAGGAAAGGGAAATTTTATTCAACAGAAAATGTAAGTCACACAAAGCAAGCAAAATCCTTATTTTCAGGATCCTAGAACAGAGGACACATCTAAGCCCATGCATCCTGAGACAAATCCAAATTTTTGCATGAATGCCTACTGTCTCAAAATATGATGCTGTAATTAATTCTAAATGTTAGCATATCAAGGAGTTTTCTCTTGCAAGTGGGAAACACGGTAAAAAGTCGGAGTACTTCTTTAAAAAAATTCCACTTGATTCAGTATATTAGGGACAGATATAGTCAACATTTTCTATTCGGTTTACGCTTACTAAATTTGAAGTCAGATATAGTCAACATTTTCTATTCGGTTTATTCATTTATAAGTTAGATGGTGAAATAAAGATAACGCTTACTAAATTTGAAGCGGAGATCAGACAGCAAGATGAGAGGAATAATAGAAAAATCTGCTGCAATCTAAAGGTCAACTAAGATTTTACACTTTGAAAGGAGTAGTCATTTGAGCAAACAAGGAACAGCTGCTTAGTTACCTGTTCTTCAGAGAGGGGTCTGTTGTTTACAACATATCACCAGGTGGACGTGATTCAGTAATGACTTAGAAAGCATATATTGCCTTAAGATCCACGAAATGTTGTCACAAAGAGAAAGAAAAGAATCAGTTCTCTGTCGCCGTGGAGGGTAAGTCAAAAAAGAAATGAGCTTAAACTTCAGCAGGAAAGATTCACATTTGACATGAGAGAAAAATTCCTGGGGGTAAAGATGTTCTGGAATGGATTGCATAAACTTTTCCTGGAAGTTTTTGGTAATAAATTAATGATATCCTTTGTATGCAGTATTTGTTAGCAAAGGCACAGGAGTAATTGGAGATTAACTCCAAAGGTCTCCTTTCTATGATTCTGTCAAAAATGATAGGCTAAAATTATTTTGAGATTTCTAGGTGACAAATAGGTATATAAGAACCTGACCTCTGGAGGTTGTGATGGTGAGTGGGAGGGGCAGACACAATGCAGTGTGGTGTGATAGAAACCGTAGTCGTTGTTGCTGCTGTTGTCTCTATTTAAAGTATATCATTTACAGAAAGTATTCATCCAACTTGTACTGGGAAATATTAACAACAGATTCCATGGATGTTTTACATTGATTTCATTTATTTTTGGCGTAGTCAATGTAGGATATTGTGTTAGGAGCACAGGGAATTCCTGTGGAAGTAACTCCAGTGCGACGTGGAAAACTTGAGCGGCGTAGCTGTGTTTTGTGCCTGTTTCTGCCTTCCCTTGATGCACTACAGATCCCTGTTCAGTTGTGGAAGCAAAAACTGAATGCTATCTCAGCTCAGGTGGTAGAAGTTATGAAAATGAACCTGGTTTTATGATTTTATTCTGCGATGCATGTGACTGTGGTGGCTGAACTGGGCCTGCACTGCCGTACACCACCGTTTGATCGAGGCATGGGACGGAGCAGAGCAGGACTTGCCCATTTCAGGGCAGGTTTGCCAGGTGGCCCTTAAGCAAAATGTATTTTTACAGCATTGCATTTCAGAATATGATATTTTATATGGCAGCAGGACTTGGCAAAGAGTTCCTCTGTTCCTTCTGGTGACTCTCCATCTGAAGCCACGACCTTCCATATTGCCGTATCTGAGTTTGGAAGCGGTTGTGTTACTCTACATTTTTATGATCTGTCCAGTTCCATAGCTAACACCCATCACATGGCATCTGAAACTTGAAGTAGAAAACAAGCAGCAGGAATACATTGTTATTTTTTTTTCACGTTAGCACTTTGAATGATTTCAGGGAAAGTTTTGCTTAAGACCACAAAATAAATCCCCCCCAAATGTTTTTTAAAGGTTAGTTGAATATTAGATTGCGTAAGAGTTGAAGGCTTTTATTAAAAATAGTCTGAGACCCTCTAAAGGACAATATTTATGCTCAACTTTTTAAACATGTTTTTGAATTAAGTGACTTAAAGCATTTGTTTAAATAGAGTGTGTTGGGCTTTCTAAATAAGGGCCCTGCTTAAACTGGCAAAGCTGCTCTTTCTACCTGTCTGTGCCTACTAGAAAAGTATAAAGCGAAAGAAACTGTGGATGGGGGGAGGAAAATATTATAACTGAAATTTTTAAAGGTTTTTCGTAGCGCCTTAATTTCAGTCGCGGAGTTTAAAAGCTGCAGATGGGTGACAAACTACAGGGAAAGCATTTTAAAATGAAGTCAAAGCAGCAGCAGCAGTTGGAAACATAAAAATAGCCGGGTTGTGGCATTAGTGTGGTGTTAGCTGTGTAGTTTAGCAGCGATGCTAATGTTGTTTCTGCTTCAAAGCTGCAGCATTACCAGTGATTTAGAGATTTCTGCTCAGAATCCAAAGCCAAACATTTTCCTCCTCTATTTTTCATTTTGTTGCCCTCATTTTCACATTCACTGCTCTAAATTGAAACATTTCTTTTATTAGATTTTGTTTTGCTTTTCAGGCAACTGGGCTGTGCTAATAAATTAGTTTGAATTGGAAGTATGCTCTCAATTTCCCTGTGAATTATTTCAATATCCCTGCCACTGATCAGGTAGCAGTTGTTGGGCTGCTGCCTATTAGACGTGTTCCAAGAATCAGCCAAGCCTGACCTTCCTTAAGTAACACTTTCACACAAACAACAGGTAGCTTTGTGGTCCCAGAGTGTATTATTATGTAAATACAGCTTTCTGACAGGAAATAGGTTTTTGGAGCAGAGAGACCATTGCCTCAGCCTTGAAGATGATGGGGAGGCAAATTTCATTTTGTTTTTCCATTGCATGTACAGAGATTTCAATATGAGCTTACACTGAATGTCAGATCTGAATGGGTTTGCCCTCTCCATTTCCAGGCGTCTGTTTTCATCTGGCTTTGTTTGATTGGGTTGTTTTTTTTGTTCAATTTCCCTGTTCCATCGAACCCCTTTCTTCAGGTAGTAAGATGGGAGCGTGGGGTTCAAATTACTAGATGATTTAGGGATTTTGCATTGAATAAGGTATCAGGAGGTGTGGATCTGGTCACCTAAGCACAATCACAAACCTCTTATCTAGTCCAGCAGTGGAATTTTGCTTTTCCTACAGTTGTCCTGCCAGTGTGCAGAAGCAGCGTGTCCCTCGGTCACTCATTAAGCAAGGTTTGGGAGTAGATGAGTGGACTATGAGCATGAGGAGGAGTTGAGCAGTTCTTTGAGCTCCTCTTCATAAGCCCTTTTAGCACAGACACCTAATGAACAGCCTCTAGCAGCATTATCGACATTTATTCAGCTGGTTAGTCACACAGTCTTTAATATTTTCTTTTAGTTTGCCAGTGTATTTGAAGCTTTAAAATTTACACTCTTCTACCCTTTTTGTTTCTTAAGGTCAGTAAGGGGTTCCAGATCACAGCATTCGTTTAAATAAACTGACAACAAATAAAGAAGTAAGCTAAAAGAACAGCGTTGGGGTACATTAAGTGTATTTCATTAGACATTGTGTTTGTTATCTTTGTCCATGATGTACTCAATATTTGAGTACAATCTTCAGTATTTGAGTACTTTTTTCCATGATGTACTCAATGTTTGACCTATTTGGCAGGTCAGCCAGCATGTGGGAAAGACAGGGGGTGATTGAGAGGCAAGGATATTATTATTAATAGAATCAAACCTATTTGAAAAGTAAAATGTCAGAAACTTTACCATGAAAAATTATCCCTTTCTGATACCAGCAGATGCTTCTGTGGTAGGATTTTTTTCTTTGCTTTAAATTATTTGTATATGTGTCTAAATGATATTAAGGGGGAAAAAAAAAAAAAAGATGTCTGGCTACAGGTCTGAAAATTCCTGCTAAAAAGGTGATGTCCAATATCTTTGAAGCCTGCTCTAGAGATTATTAGGTTTCTTTAGTTGGTGAGGATAGACTTTATTATTTTTTTTTTTAATAGTTGCCTCATTAAAACCTCATTTAGTGAACAATTTTATTGCCGTACCTATGAGAATCATGAATTAGAACTGCATTTAGTATCTGACTTCAATTTCTTAATGAGTGCCTCCAGATGAAGAATCAGATATGAGCTTTTGTTAATAGTTTGGCTGAAAAGAGATTAAAAAAGGAGATAGAATCAAGCAGGAGAGGAAAGTCAGTTATGTGATTGCCTGGAAGTAGAAAATGAGACTGGAGGTGGTGGTGGCTTTGGTGTTTCCTTGGGAGAGGCAAAAATCATGGTGGTGGTCTGCAGTAGATCAGGAAGCCCACAAACAGCCAAAGAAGACCATTTTCTCCTGTGCCAAGTGCCTGTGAACTAACTGGGTGCTTGATGTGCTTGACTAGTGCTTGACTAATCTCATTAGAGATGTTTGCTCCTTTTTTTTCAGGATTTCTGAGATCTCGCTGGAGGTTGCTGAAGGTGGCACCGTGTCAGGGATGACTCCTCAGGCTTTCTTGATCGAGAAATGCGACTGCCCGTTGGGTTATTCCGGTTTGTCTTGCGAGGTATGGTGCTAACCAGTGATAAGTAATTAGACTGTGAATTCAATTAACTGGCAGCAACTCTCCCTTAATTTAGTTAATTACATTCTTTCTCTCTCAGATGTCTCACAAGAAATTTAAGCACTTCATTTTGCTTTAAGCAAACGTGCTGCTGAAGCTGTGGGGTAACTCCAACACTTGGAATGGAGGAGAGGGAGCTTTACTGGGACGGGGTCTCTGAGGCTGAATTGTGTGACTGGTGCTGACTGATCAAGCCTTTTTGGCCAGATAAGGGGATAATTCTATTGTAATGTGCCACGTACAACAGGTTGTACTGGGTTGTCGTGTTATGGTAAGGCCACGATACACAAAATAGTTACGATATTAATCTTCCAAAAGACTGATCTTTATGCATCACTTCATCATGACAATGGTCCACAGAATCTGTAGAGAAAAACACAGGAAGCCTGTATGTCAAATAAAAAAAAATAATCCAATTGATTCAATAAATTATTGTTAGTTGTAAGTAAACTACAAGTTAACATTTGTAATGATGAATAATTAAAGGTTGCATACTACATAGTCCTGAAAAGTTAAAGATCTGTCAGCTGAATGAAATTCATCAAATAAAGTATAAAACAAATTTGAAAACAACAAAGTTAAATGTGATTAAAATTGTAGCTCCAAGCACTCTAAACAGAGCCATCCAGAATTCTAAAATTCTGTTCTGCAAAGGCTTTTAAGTTTGCCTTGTTTGACATTTAAATTCCCCTATAAAGTCTTAATAGCTGTGTGATTGATTGAAATACTTTGCTTCGTAAAAAAGCTAAGCAGCATTTCAATTTTGATTTCTTAAATGTTTGGATTGTAACAAATAACTCAAATAACAACAAAATTTAAAAGAGAAGTCATTTCAAATGCAAAACTTGAAATAGTGCATTCTGAAGGCAGCTGGTAGCTGAGAACATGCGGATTCCTCACGTTGATCTTTCTTCTTGAAGCTGTTCCCAAAGCATGGCTTCATGGACCAGCCAGGATGAAGTTTGTCCATTTTTTTTTTTTCATTTTCCATTCTTGACACCTCAAAATAGTGCTGTAAATGAATTAAAAAGGTAGCTGAGAATGTTCTGCAGCATGAACGTGCTTCCTGAAAGAAGCTTCAGGGAAGATGTTTTCAAAGCTTTAGGAAATGTCATGCTGCACGTGTTTAAACTGTTGGTTTTCTGAATCCTTTTAATTTATCCAAGTGGATCTATGAAAATACATTGAAAAGGGCCACTGAGTTCTGGCAAATGTCTTTCCATTTTACTCTTCTACAATTATTCTTTTTCCAGTGCTGGTACAGGACTCCCAGAAGATCTTGCTCAGTCCATACACAAAAACCTGCCTCCTGTCAAATTTCAGTTCTCCTTATGTAAGGGAGGGAGCTGCTTGGAAAGAGCAGAAATCCTGGAATATGGTCTAAATAGTGTATTTTGCTTCATTCTTAGAAACAGTTGAATCAGTGTGCCTTAAAATAAAAAAAAAAATAGATCCGATGCTAATGGAAAGTTTTGCCCTGACCCATTGAAGTTTGGTCAATTTTCAAGTTATTGAACACTGGGAGGAAAAGTGTTGGTTGTCTAAATATTTCATGCTGAAGATTGCATGTTTCAGAAGCGTCCAAATTTTATAGAAAATCAGCTGACTTGGGTGCATTTGTATCTTATGATGGGCACCAGAGGAAGTGTTTCAGAGTGTTTACTTTGGGGAATAGAAGTTAATATTTTTGACTGTATGTGCTCTCAGTGGTGGGAAGGGCTGTGCCTTCCTGTGTGTAAACCAACAGGTTTGTGTTATGAAGCAATTCCAAATGCTTTCCTCGTTTTCTGGGGGAGCCCTGCTCCCTTCAGAGGTTATGCAGGATTATGTTACGCAGAAAATGGGGCAACAGGAACAGGGAATTTATAGGAAATCTGTGCAGAGAAGTAAATGAAGTCATTTCCTTTCAGTGCTTTGGTAACAGCATACACCTGAATGCGTATAAACACACGTATTAGAAATTTATGGGCTCCAGCATTTGCTCAGAAGTACAGATTTTTTAAAAGTTACTGAAACAAATTGGATTTTCAAAGGAAAAAAATATGATAATGTAATTAGAACTTTATTTTAATTCGCACCCACCAGGGGCTGGAATAAATGTCTCAGTTGCAACCTTCATACTTTGTGCTTAATTGTGCAATTTTCACATGCTTATAACTTAGTTTATTTTTAGTGTGCTCAGTGAAGGTTATAGTGTGTTCCGTGAAGGTTTATCTAATTTCAGCAGGGGAAAAAAGCATCTGATATCAGGCATTTTTTAAGTAAATGCTAACGGGGTATGTGTGTCTGTCATGATTTATCCTGTATTTGCATTGTGAGGACTGTGTGCACATCAGTTTCTACTAGAAGTGATAAAAGTGACATTTATATCTTTTTTTCTTCTTTTTTAATCCATTAGCGGGCTGAAAAAGCAGTGGTAGGGGTTTTCCTAATGACTTTTTTTTTTTTTTTTTAATCCAGTAGTGGGCTGAAAAAAAAAAAAAGCAGTGGTAGGGGTTTCCCTAATGGTTACTTCTGATGGTTACTTCTGAAAAACTTCCAAACTAGGACTGAAAAATGTAGTCTGCTTCATATTTAGTCTGTGTCCTGCTTCATCTCGGAAATGTTTAGATCAGACTAGATGAGAAGAGTCAATAGCGTATCAGAAAAAACAGTTAGAGATGAGATTTTTTTGGAGGATGCATCATGTATTTATACCCCGATCCTAAAGTTACTCAGAACTTGTAAAGCTGTGCTTTGTACCCTTTTATGCCTGGACAAGGAGTCTTCTGGGGATGGAGAGGGAGGAAAAAATTAGGAAATAGTAGTAAGAAAAGAAATTACTTTCATTTGAGATTATTTATCTAAATTGGAATTCTTCACAAGCCATGAAAAAGCAGATAGGCTGTTTCTGTGCTTCAGGGATCTGAAGGGAGTCTAAGTCAAAAGAAAAGGGGAGAGGCAGAGGTGAGTTAGATTACTTTCTTTGTGATTCTAAAGAAAATAATTGTCTTCGTGCTTCTTCCATAACTTAGACTCCTGGAGGTTTTGGCAATGATTTTAAACCTGTCAGTGATGGGGTAAAAGAAAATAATTGTCTTCGTGCTTTTTCCATAACTTAGACTCCTGGAGGTTTTGGCAATGATTTTAAACCTGTCAGTAGTGGGGTATGAATAATATCCCACCCCTCAGCTAGTGTTTGACTGAAGAGTCTTGCTTCCCGTCGTGAAAAGTTACTTAAACCAGATTCTATTTTGTTTTACTTTGCATCCATTTTATTGCTGTGTCAAAATTATGCTATTCACATTTTTTGATTTTAAACCTGTCAGTGATGGGGTATGAATAATATCCCACCCCTCAGCTAGTGCTTGACTGAAGAGTCTTGCTTCTCGTCATGAAAAGTTACTTACGCCAGATTCTATTTTGTTTTACTTTGCATCCATTTTATTGCTGTGTCAAAATTATGCTATTCACATTTTTCCCAAAAAGCAGAAGTTGTGGTCAACAGTGGGAAATGACCTCATCAGCCAACCTTCATGGGCTCTGGCCCCGCTGGGTGGGGGGGTTTGTACATGGGACGAGTGACTTCTCTGTGTGCACTTACCCCTAATGGTCTGAATTACCAAAATGGCCCAGTTTGTGTGTCCATGCTGTCATAGCTGGGTGCTTTCTGGGAGCTACGTAGAAACTTTCAGACATTTGCATAATAAGCCTGCATAATAAGATTAAGTGCCCCAAAAAGCAGAAGTTGTGGTCAACAGTGGGAAATGACCTCATCAGCCAACCTTCATGGGCTCTGGCCCCGCTGGGTGGGGGGGTTTGTACATGGGACGAGTGACTTCTCTGTGTGCACTTACCCCTAATGGTCTGAATTACCAAAATGGCCCAGTTTGTGTGTCCATGCTGTCATAGCTGGGTGCTTTCTGGGAGCTACGTAGAAACTTTCAGACATTTGCATAATAAGCCTGCATAATAAGATTAAGGGCTTGATTTTTGCGTGTATTGGCTTTGCTGGTAATTTCTGGGTTGCTCTCAGAATTTTATTGCCCAGCTGGGGCAGAGGAGACTTAGTGACAGAGAAATTCCATTTGGGGCTAATAGTCCCAAGACATATAAAACCTTTAATATTTTGGATTCTTTACTTTTATGGTCTTTATGTAGCTATAAATAATGCAGCCATGAAGCCAGTTTTTTGATTATTATTATTATCGTCCGGTTTTTGCTTGTTATCCACCAGGTGGTATGTAGGCAGATATTAGCTTGTCAAACTGATAGTGTTTAACATTTTTATCAATGATATAGACAGGGGGATTAAAGGCACCATCAGCAAGTTTGCGGACGACACCAAGCTGTGTGGTGTTGTCGATACACCAGAGGGATGGGATGTCATCCAAAAAGACCTGGACAGGCTGGAGAGGTGGGCCCAGGTGAACCTCATGAGGTTCAACAAGAGCAAATGCAAGGTTCTGCACCTGGGCCAGAACAATCCTCACCACCAGTACAAACTAGGGGGTGAGGTGTTAGAAAGCAGCCCTGAGGAAAGGGACTTGGGGGTGCTGGTGGATGAGAAGCTGGGCATGAGCAGGCAGTGGGCACTTGCAGCCCAGAAGGCCAATCCCATCCTGGGCTGCATCAAAAGATGCATTGCCAGCAGGTCCAGAGAGGGGATTCTTCTACTTTACTCTGCTCTGGTGAGACCTCACCTGGAGTATTGTGTGCAGGTCTGGAGCCCTCAATATAAGAAGGACATGGACCTGATGGAGAGGGTCCAGAGGAGGGCCACAAGGATGATCAGGGGGATGGAGCACCTCCGCTACGAGGACAGGCTGAGGGAGCTGGGGTTGTTCAGCCTGGAGAAGAGGAGGCTCCGGGGAGACCTAATAGCAGCCTTCCAGTACCTGAAGGGAGCCTACAGGAAGGCTGGGGAGAACCTGTTTAGAAAGGCCTGCAGTGACAGGACGAGGGGCAATGGCTTCAAGCTGGAGGGGAACAGATTT